TTGCCCTCCTTTGCCTTCTAAGTTATTTAAAAACATAATAGTCCCAAAACTTGAGAAAGAAAATTTAAGATAGATCGTTTTACCTAAAAGAAGGGCCTCAATGTTTAATGATGGTGAAAGCATAGGCCTATGAATTGTAATGAATAAAACCACGATGAAAATGCTTATATTTAGTTCCAAACACACGCGTGTGCCCCATATTAATATTAAAATAAGCCATGCCGTATTGTTTTCTATATGGGGGGGGGGGGTATCACCCCAAGTCATAAATTACCAACCGGGAAAATTAATTACCTTTGCCCCCCCCCCCCCAGCACCCAAGACCCCTGTTACTGGCCTGCTTATAAGTGGGGCCCCCACTTTGAAAAACGTTCCGCCGGCCCTGGTGCATCATTAGTAAGACAATAAGGATCACGAAAGTGAAAGTGGTACTGTAATTTAAGGAATTTCTTTAGACTGTTTTGCACAGTAACCGTGAAAATGATATCGTAATGTGGTTTGGGTATTTTGAAATTTGTCAAAAGCTGAATGAAAACAACAATGTCAACTCACAAGATCGCTAATTGTTTTGTTTAGCGCCTGTACCTCATCACGCGACATTTGTAGCTCGGCTTCTGTTGCAACACACTTTTTGAACACTGAGCTAACAGTATCAGTAGACGATATCAAAACGTTTACTAATTTGTCTTGAATCTGAAAAAAAATTCCAACATGGAATTAGTAGTAAATTTTACAAGTTATACCAGTCCAAGCTGTACCTCAAATTACGTTAGTAGTTTTCATTCATTCACTGGTGATTTAAAAAAAAAAAAAAAAAACTACAGCAATGTCAGAAAAACATTGGGAATCTTTCTAAAATTCTTGATAAAATAAATCAAAATCACAACTCAAAAGATATGCAGTAATAATTTATATAATAAATGATTTCAACATTGTCAAGATTCATAAAGGATACTTTTGAAAATTATAATTTTTGCAATAAAAAAAGAAAAATCGTGAGTTTGAATTTGAAGAGCGTCAGATATCTGAGTTCACAACTTGATCTGATGTCTGAGTTTTCTAGATCTGTGTTTTCTAGAAACCCATTTTTGGAGTTTTAAAATCGCACTCTGCCTTTCAAGAGGTTATTAAAACTCGTTTCTCTAAGCCCGCCTCGTGGATGTTTTTGGTAAGGTGCCACAAGGCGATGGCGTGAACTTGTGTATAGGTGGGACATGTGCGTATTCTATCTCTGTTCTGATTGGTGAGCTCTTGAGTTTTATAGACACTCGGGAAAGAGCGATTATGGTGATGGCTGTAATGATGGTGATATTAATAATGATGACTATGACAATGACATTTTGGAGAACATTACGCGTGAATGCGATGGCACAATTAAGTCAGCATCGCTCAGAACCAACATCAGAATACCTTACTACATCAATTTAATTTCCTTACCTCATCTAAAGATTTGATAAATTTATAAAACTTGACATGAATCTCTTCCATATCTGTTTGTAAATCCTTAATTAGTTGCATATTATAATTAATATTTCTGTGAAGAAACAAAACGAAAACATCGTTTGAAAAAAAGAAAATCATTTGTCAAATATATATTTGGCACTTGGAAGGCAAAATGTACGTAAATTTCTAATTTTTTCAAGCATTCGTAGCGATAAATCCTCTTTGTGTACTATGGCCTATGTAGGCATAGGCCTATGCTGTGTAATTTATTGAGTGTTTAAATATTTTTAACGGCAAGTCTTAAAGGCCAACTCAGACAGCGTCAGGAACAGCGTTAAAGCCGTTGTCGAAATATTAATTATGTTTAATATTCTATGACGCGACTGCCCCTGACGCAAGCCATTGCGTTTAATTCACACCAGATCTGACGCGACAACAAATCGCGTCGGGCTGCGTACGACGCTGAGTTGGCCTTTAGGAATACCATGAAGGCCTGATTCGTAAGGATGAAACTGGGGCTAAACAAGAATCCCCTGTACCCCTCTAGTTAACATATCTTTTTGATGAAAACGATAATTAAGTTCGCACCTATACCAACTACCAAACTCTCTATGTAATGTTTTAAGATTCGGTTCACAATGGTCACGAAGTAGACTAGCTCCCTGAACACATTTACATCTTAACTTCTGTCTGTAATGAAAAAAATATACCTGTTTAGTTATTTAGGCCTATTTAATTAATTATCGCTCTATATTTTTTATTGTCTTCACATACTCTATGTGAGTACCTAACTTTCCATATACGAATATTGTCGATATTTTTGGTAAACAGTCATTTTAAAATAGTTTTGTTTAAATTACTTACTTATCCATCTTGTGTATCTGTTCTTCGTTATATTTTAACCTTTTCTCTCGTTTATCCTTTTTAAATTGATCATATATTTCACGGACATCGTCTCTTAAAACAGCTAATCGTTCTATACTTAAAACCAAAAAAAAAACAAACAAATATTTTCAATGAAAATTTTGTGTGGCCTTTTTACTAATAATCGCTTTATAACGTGAATCACAAATAGTTTATTATAGGCCAAGAAGGGTTGATAACAGAATGAAAGGTATTCCTTATTAAACTCACCATTTTTCGTCATCTTTACACCTCATATCATCAAAATTGTGTGGAAAAGTTTGTTTTGCTAAAGACTCCAATTTATTATATTTATCTGATGTAGCACGTTGTAACTAAAGGAATTGGGAAAAAACACATTGGTTTGTGTAGGTCAATGTTATATAACTGTAATTGATTAAAGGTTTATACAACTGAGAAAAAAATCTACAGAACACGGGATAAAAGCCAAAATCCAAGTAATAAAATTGTTGAATATTTAGCCTACGAGCCTAGGAATAATATTGATAGCAATAGGCTTAACCATACCGATTGGACACGGAAATGTCACTGATAGTGAAAAGTCGAAAACTAACGTTTCAATTCATGTAAAAACTACGGTGTACTTTAGGCCTATGAGAGTGGTCTATTGCATTTAAGATCTAGTAGACCTGGGTCAGTGGCGGCTCCACTGACTGGTCCAAAAGGAATGGTCATCTCAAAGAAAGGAGAGAAAGATCAAGAAGAAAGAGGGGGAGGGAGTACGTTGGGATAACGGAAATAGACAAATACGAAACTGGGGAAATATTATAAATTTGAATACAATATATAAACAGAATAATGAAAATTGGCTTTACATTTTGTTTATATTCATGCTTAAGTATATTAATTTTCTCTATTGTGTTTGCTAGCGTATTCTTGATGTCTTTAATGCTTGGATCTATGTTGTCTGGTATACTGGTGATTAGACAGAATCGTATCATCGATGAGAGCATGTCTAGTTTGATTTTAATTTCCATTTGTAACTGCTGCAATGAACCATTTATATATTGAACACTTCGTATACTATCTCTATATACATTCCTGAAAAAGAAACAAATTAACAGGTAGTTAATTAACACTCAATCAAGCAAAGTAACTTTTAGTAGGCCTACATCCAATTTTAAATTATTTTTTAAAAACTGAAAATACATTTTAAATATTTCGGTTACATTTTAGGTTGACCGGGACACAACTTTGAACGACGATTGGTCAGCTGATGGTCAGTCGACTCGGCAGACCGTGAGTCGGCTGATGCATATGTCCCCCATTCTATGTTCAGTGTCTGCTTATTTTCGGTGGCGATCTTTAGCGAAAAACAATCTCTTACGCGCGCCTCGTTGCGTTGCTGTCTACATTGAATATCGCGCCCGCAGATGACACACGGCCGATGTGAAGCGATAACTTTTAATTTATACCCTGTGCAGACTATCAATTTTTATTTGACAAAAAACACGTGACTAAATATGGTTACGGTGACATCACATCATGACCATATATAGGAACATCATGACTATATGGGCGAAACTCTAGTTTTTTGTAAAAAGAAAATTTGATAGTTTGGGCAGAGATTTAAAAGCCGGGCGTATACGGTACTGTGTCGGACGCAGTTGCATAAATCACAGCGTTACGTGGCGCGCGACGAGCGTTTTCAACGACAATCCGACCAGACTCCAGCAATCAAGAGACAGGAGCGAGGCATCGTCAAACGCTCACAGTAAAAGGAGATTAATTCCCCGGCCAGGTTCGCCTACCAGTGTGTGCCCGAATGTAATAAAAGAATGTTAACTCTTACAAAAACATATTTGCTGCTGAAGATGCATGTCGCTGTGCTTTCTGAATCTGGGTCACAGCTACAAGAAAGAATATTAAACTCGCACATCCCATCTGAAATTAAATCATAAAGTATTCCATTTGTTTATTATTGTTTTATTGTTGTCATCGTCATCATTATTGTTCTATAATATCAAAGAGAAAACAACGAAAAACAGAAAATGAAATTTGGATAACTTGTTCATTACCTTTGCGATCGGTGCATCATTCTCCAAATTATATGCTGACGTAATTGTTGGAAGTTCAGCTATAGAAATTTAACAATAATAGAAAATAATTATATAAAAACACACATATAGGCGCAGTAAACGAAACAAAAGATTCCAAGTAAATAAATAAAGGACGTTACAAGACAGAATAATGATTTTTGGAAGGAAATGAATGTACTAATATTAAGAATAAATGCAGTACATAATAAGAGAGATAAGTCACTTTGTTTAAGTGGTAATGTGTAATGGGATATGCGCAACAGTCTTCCCCACGCAAAAAAAATTGCTGGTCAGATGCTGACGAAGACCAAAGGAAGAGTACAAATACTCGTAGTGTCCTACTTGTGGTGTCCTACAGAGTCTATTTCGTTTCATTTTTATTTGTCGTTGTAGGTTTTTGTACCGATAGTTACTTATATCAATCATTTTAACTTTGAACAAATAAAAAAACAAAAAGAGGCTAAAACAGAACAAGTGAGTACCCCCACAAAGCCGTCTTAATTCTGGAGATCAAATTAAAAAATATATAAAATTTATATTTAAATTTAAGATTTGTCCAATTTGCAAATAATAAAATTGAAGTAGAACATTTTCAGCATTTAACAACATTGACAAAAAAATTAAACCTATTTGCAAATATTATCAGGAAGAAAATTTGATTTAAATTTAGTATAAAATTCAAGCACTTCGTTTATGAAAGATAAAAAAAAAAGAAGGATCTGATCGAATAGCTAAAGGAAGGTTATTTCAGATAGGCACAATTCTCTGAAAATACAAAAAGATTTTTAATAAACTTGAAATTGATCTGGATTTGCAACGAAGAATAGATAACATGAATGAAAGAAATTATGGTGGACCATGGGATGAATTAAAATGTACATGGTCATCAATATAAATAAATAACTTTTATAAAAAATATAAAGATCTCTGATCGCACGATCTGAATCGTACTCACGAGTTGACATTACAACCATCCCAAATGGTTCACAGTTCTCTTTACTGTATAGAAAAAATGGCGAATCTTGTTGAGTCTCTGGTAAATCTTTACACTCAACATTATCTTCCATATCAAATACAGCATTTTGCCAACAAAATAACTGGTTCGTAGGTTTAATATTGGCTTGTTCTGCAACCTTTAGCGATACTTCGAATGAATTGGCACGTGGGGAGACGTAGATACTTAACATCTCTGTTGTTAGAGTGTTATAAACATCCAGATGTTTCATGGTTGTCAGACGATCAGTGTATTCAAATAATTCTTCGAATGACAGAATCTTGTCACGGTCACTTTCAAGTAGGCGTGCAAGTATATATGTAACGAGTGGTTTCAGCCCTCTAAACAAAATAAATATCAGGCTAAAATTAATATTGACATCGTATTGCTAGTCTCATTAGTTCTATAACATAGACTATTCCTATGCTATTGTTGCTAATTAGCTCCTACAAAACTACAGTGTGGACACATGTAGACAAAGGCCTATTTGTTCATGCATGACAAGCGCGTATTTCTAGCTCTATTATGATTGGTCAGTTGTTAAGTTTAATTAATAGACAAATCAGAATTGAAAAACAACAGAGCCGCGTAGTACCTGGAAAGATGGCAATTGGTTGGTAAGTCCTTGGACCATTCAATTCTCCCCGTGGGAGAGTCATGTTGTACCCCGCTTATTACACCGGATGCCTTCCTAGTTATTAAATAATGCCTGTAAAAATAACAAATGTACGTTATGTTGTATGGTAGCCTGGATAAAAAAAAAATTATCTCTGTACTGTATTTTTAAAACGGAATCACTGATTTTATTATTAGACATACCGTAAATCCTCGAATGAGCGCCGCTTTTGAATAAGCGCCACACCAAACGTGGTTTTTTCGCCGTGATGCTAATCGAGAGTAGGCCTACATTATTACACTGTGTGTAATGAAACGCTTTGAGAAACAGGGTTTTAAATACCAATTAGGCCTACTTACATTGTTTCTCTGTTCCGTCTTCCACCGTATGGTCGAAACGGTAGCTGGCCTGTTGCTAGTTGATAAAGTGTTACTCCAAGGGACCATAGATCAACAGTCGTTGTGTAGTTTGCTCCGCCACCAGACCGAAGCACAGCTATTCCGTACAAATCAGCTCGCTGAAATCGACATGAAATCATCGCCATCAATAGGTCGATAAACGATCAATCGATCGATAAATTAATCAATCAATTGAATAATTAATTCATTATACAATAATATACATTAATACATTATACTGTAATCAATTAATTGACCGCCAACCAATCGATTGCTGCGTAATTAATTATATATTCATGGTTAAATTAATCATTTAGTCATTTAATAATTCAGCTAATGAATCAAGTTTTTAAATTAATTTATCAATTGATCAATTATTTTGTTTATTCATAATAATTAAAATCTGAACGTTTTGATCAACTAGTTTTAGATTAAGTGTTAGACCTATGGTAAATTACCCAGCTAACAATTTTACATTATAATAGCGTTTTAATTTTCTTGTAGAACCACAAACGTATTTATAACGTAATTTTTGTTTTGTTTTTGCTGGGTAACCAGATTACAGATAGATCTACTATCATACCAAATATTCCTCTGTGCCGTATAATGATTGAAGCGTCTCTTCGCCTTCGACCTCACGTGCTGCGCCAAAATCCGCAAGCTTGTACGTGTGACTACCATCTTGACATTTGACCCTCATTATATTTCCAGGCTTGATATCTCGATGAACTACACCGGATCTTCGCAAGTATTTCATGCCATCCACTTAAAAGCAATCACATGGAATATGTATTCTAACAGGCTAAACTTTACCCTCCGATAAGCGCCCATTTTAAAAGTCCGAGTTTTTCATTATCCTATGACTTCTTAAAATAGGTTAATACATTTGTGCATCCATTCTTTAATTTATTTATTTATTCACGTATTTCATTTACTTTGATAACGTATCGGTATTTATTTATTTGCAAAATATTTATTCAAGATAACATATTCAATGTACAACATACAAGAAACGAAATACAGTACATTGGGTTTTTATTTCAATAAGGTGCTGAATATTTACAAACATTGGGTTAATATAATATAACTTGAACAAAGTAAAGGATTAAAAACATTTTCGCATTAATTAGATAAGAATAATCAAGAATCATATACAAAATATACACGATGCATATCATATACATAATATACACGATGCATAGGATATTATTTATTATATATATATATACATATATATATATATATCGTATATATATATGCAAAATATGATCAGCGACGTATAGTGATCAATGCGAATGCACAGTGTAATAGTAAGAATACGTGACAAAATTAGCATATACACCTGCTGAACCTCATATATACCTCCATTATCTTCTTATCCACTCATTCCTGAAGATTGCTACTGTATGAAACAGCTGTTGAGTAAATTCACGCTCGAAATAACCTTTCTATTACACTATATATATA